TTTGCTTTGTATCCCAAATGGCATTGCAAACGTTACTGAGGGTTGCCTCAAAACACCAAGTTTGAAAACAGATCTTGTTTTAATAAAAAGTACCATATTTAGATGGTTGTGTTTTGTTTATTAAGTTAAAGTCAATCCCAAACTACTAAGGCCCACGATTTTCAAAATACCGGAGCTTTTAAAACTTAGTAGCACTTACTCCCTCTTTTCCTTGCCACCCCCAACTCTTTGCAGGAAGAATACACAGTTCAACAGGAACCATTCCAGTTATCCAAATTCTGGCCAAGAGAAATGCAGTACTACACATTTAAATGGAGAGACTAAAATTAACTAAAAATATAAAACTTCATCACAGCTTGACACTGAGTTGTCATCTTGCCAGTGTCACAAGATATCCAATTAATCACTGATGCGATAGCTTAAAGAAATTTGGGTTGCATTATTTCACTGGTAAATATACTTCAGAGTTCATATAGATCGAGAGGTGGTCATATGGATCTGAGCTTTTAAAAAAAGCTTTCATAGTTGAAGAAAAAAGTTCTAAAAAAATAAAAAAAATGTTTCTTGCCTTACTTGTCTAGCTTCCAATCATTCTTTCTTCTTTATGATGATTCAAAAGAGTAACTGAGCTTTTGCAGATTTGTGAGGTAGCAGACATTAGAAAAAAAATAAGGCAGTACCTACTGTGTGTTGCCACTTGTTTGAAATCCACATAGCAAAGTAAAGCCAGTGTGGTAAGACTTATAAACAATTCTGTTCAGAAAATGTTAAACCACTTTTTATTTCTTAAAAAATTATGAATGCAGATCTGGAATAAAGCATTAGATGAAGAAATCTTGTAAGGTCACATGGCTGGCTCAGTGATATCACCCTGTCAAGACATTTAATATGACAGTTTTAAATGTTGATATTCTGTAAACTTATCTTGGTTTTAGTTGGAAGCAAGGATGTTGTAAAGATTAATTGCAGAGGATGAAGGTTCATGACCAAGAAGCCAGTGGCCCGTCTGGGGTAGGTATGCTCCAGAGTATCGCTCCAAATCACGAACTCACTGATCATGCGACTCAGTAGAGCGCAGTGTGGGTTTCTCCTGTCCACACTCCTACTTTCCTTTCACAGCTGTCAGGAGCACGTGCAAGTACAGGGTGCAGAAAATAGCAGAGGTCTGCCAGTTGAAATTCTCAACACACTCAACATAAAAATCAACCTTTCATTTATTTTTAAAAAAGGAACGAAACAGGCACCAATCCTAGAGAAAATGGCATAAAATCGCAACATGAAATGCATCTTTATTAAGCAAGAGAAAAAAATTACTAGATTGTCTAAACTGTAATACAGCAATGAAGAATTCAGAAAAGTTGATGTTTACTAGACTGGGTAGTTCCTATGTCACCATAGTGCAACCCTTTTCTTACTTTTGCTTCAATTAAAATGTCATGTATGGCTCTTTACAACCTCACCAATTTCTACCATTGAATTCGAGGTTATGTGTTGAAGGGGATGCACCTTAATACATTCCTTAACTGAGCTTTGAAAGAGGCTTGTTATGAATAACTCAGAACACAGCACAGTGAAAAAGCTTGGCCTGTGACTTAGCCCAATGGTGCTCTGAAGGAAAGAACTGTATCTCTGTTTTTGCCATGTTCCTATGTGATGATAAGTAACTCATTTAACACACACTTTCCATACTGCAGTTGCTGGTTGCATGCTTTTCATTCTCTGCATTCCTGCTTTAAAAGAGTAGATGAAATAGAGTGCATATACCAGCAGCTCAGCTCACTAGGAGCTGCACTCCAACTACAACACACAATACAAAAGGTTGCTTAGAATAAAAGAATCAAAATAACTGCATATTTTTTAGGTTATACCTCCATATTTGACAAGCAGAAAACTATTACAGAACGTTACATCACGAGATGGTTTCAGGACTCTGCTCTAGTAGTGAGACTGGCAACAAACTGTATTCACCTTTGCAAGCTCCACAGTCAGGGAGCAACCTCAGGAAAGTTGGGGCAGTAGGTACAACATGGAGGTTCAAGCAGGTACAAACTCTTTCCCTTCCCAGTGTTTTCAGTTCTACCCGCAACACGAAGTGAACGTTGCTCACAACAAGTCCCAGAACATCATCATATGCAGTGCTCAGCATAACAATAAATTAAAATTGGTATTATTAGTCCAACACACAAGGTGGTAAATGTTTACAATTTGGGGTTCAGGTCAGCTGCATATCCCATGCAGTGATTCCTGCTGTTGGATAAGAGACATTTGGAGAAGGTATGCTCTCTGTGGTCACACTGAGGTTGGGTACATTATGTTGCAGCTGGCCAAACCAACCTATTACCTACCTCACACGATCATATTTCTTCTTTACCACCTTCTGCCATATCCCTTCTTCCATTAAATATCAGTGGCATATCAGTCCTTATCCACAGTGAGTGACCAACTGTGCAGATATTTTGGTTTAAAAAAGTTTTCATGACCTACCAATCCAAAAGAACTACTCAGTACAAGGGAAAGAATCCAGAGTAAAAAGTAACACTGATTTTTGATTTTCTGTTATTATTACTTATAATTGATAAAATTGCTTCTACTTGTTCAGGGTAAATATGCCTCAAATCCAAACTCCCAAATCCCTTCAATAAAAGTCATTTTGAGACCAAACATATCAACATTAAAGCCAGTGTGTACATCAAGATTATTTTTCCCTATAGTGTAGTCATTTTCCAAAAGGCCATACGTTACATAGCTACATAGGTTCTCTAGGGTTCACAACAAATAAAATTAATATTTCAATGCCTGTTAATCATACAATCACAAAACACTATTGCTGAGACCATACTCAAAACATTTTACAACCCCATGGAACATAAAAATGATGTCCTTATATTCTAACTAAACCAGAAACGCATCATTTACACTCTCCTTCCTTCAGTACTACAGGTTTTTATCCAAATGCAAACACTAATTTATTTTGCTACAATCAAATCTCACACAGGCTGGGTGAAATTTTAATAAAGACAAAGTAGTTCAGAACAAAATTCCGCTTCAATGGTAACAGAAAAGAGCAATAGTTCTCTATCATTATTTGACTACCATTCTGGAAGTCAAATACAGCATTTTACTATTAAAGATCCTAAGATCTGATCGTAGAACAAACATTTCACATATGTGAAAAGGAATGAAGTGTCCCCTCAGTCAAATCTTATTCTACTAAGTCTTACTTCTGCCATGAATCCAAACACATTCCGCTAGTTCCTAAAGCAAAAGAAAAAAGAACCTTTTTTTGAACCATATCAGACAACCATTCTCATCACCTCTGGCCTCTCTAACCTTTCTGCTCTGTGATTTCCCCTTCCAAATAGTTTCACTTATGTCTTGCTTAATTTACTGTCTTAGGATAGAAAAAGTAACACCTTTGATTCTAGAAGGCTGAAGCCTAAGGAAGGAGTTTGCCCTATTCTCAACTATGAGCATGAGCTATTTTCATAAGTTACACGTTCTCAACAAAAATACACCATAACAAATGAGGCTACAGATTAGGGGAAACATCCTAAATCTGAGTTTGTTAAATACCACAATCCAGAGAAATTAAAACTGCAGCTAACAGTTTGCTTGGCAAGGTTATGACGCATAAATAAAAAATGCTCCGTTACACTCAAATAAAAGGCATTTAAACAACCACAACAGCCAACGCAAGTCTGGTTTCACTTCACATAAATATTAACACTAGTCTCTGCATGAGCTTACAAAATATAAGGTGCTAAATATTTTGAATCACAAGCTAACAGTTCGTCTTGACCTAGTAGAAATATCCATTTTTGTAACAAGTACTTACATGCATACTTACAGGATATTACCTATGGCGTACCCTTTTCAAATATAAATGTGCTGGGGTAAATAAAAATAACATTTTTAATCAGTAAAGCCATTTGCAAAATTATTGTGCTTAGAGTTTGAGAATGGGTACTCTTTAAACCTGGCAAAAAAAAAACAAAAAAACAAACACTAAAAAAAAAAAATCAATATAGTCCTGCATTCTCTCCCCTTCTCACCTAAATGAAACAAATACCCTTTTCCTTGCATCTTCAGCACATAAGTATGTAGTTTTTCATATGTTTCCACTCTGTTTGCCCTTATTCCCTCGATGGAAGGCAAACCATGTGGCGTTC